GGGAATGGGTTTGCTCTACTATTTGGTGTGCCCTTTCATAAGGGCACACCAAATAATGTTAAATAATCTTAAATTTTACTTAAGTCTTGGCCTGAACCATGGCTACAAATGGATCAAATGGAATGTTTTGCCCAGACTTTTGCACCACTTAAAATTTTGTGAAATGTACAAATGTGTCTGTTCTTTCTCAAGTTAGTTCAGCTACTCTTCACCTAGTATTAGGTGATGTGTGTGCAGTTATAACAGTATTTTTTAATCGATTTATTGGTTCCAGACATATTCAGTTTCAAGAGCTTAGGAGAGATGAAACTAAAATGGCTTTGGAATTTCCCTAGCTCTTGCCAGTATAGAGCTGCTTAATCAGGAGGAGGAAGCAGCAGTGTGTCTAGGGGAGATACTGTCTTATGATTAGCTCTGGACACTTTCAGTTGTAGAGGAGTGTAGAAACCTGAGCAATAGCTACAAGTGGAGGTGCTGCTTTAGCATCTTACTACATTGGCTTTAAAATGTATCTATCTCCCCCCAATACTTAGGGCTCTGCTTTAAGGAAGAAATTTTTTTTCCCATTTAACAGATTGTGGTTTATTCTATGTTGAATGCAGCTGAACTGATACTTGTATAAAGAATCAGATCATGCAGGTACTTGAACAGAGGTCAATGATTTCACATATTGGCCATAATGTTTGATAAATGGACACTGCTTGTTTCTTTTGGGCCTAAACCTTGTTTTACTGTACGGATCAGCAGAAGATTATTTGAAATACTCTGACTTGTCTGGTTTTGCATGACTTACAAACCAATTCGCATGCAGCAAAAATATGTTTGGGTCCAGGGGAGGAGGAAGGAATGTATGTCTTCTGCAGCACATGAAGGCAAACACTAATTTTCACATAAAATGATGAAAGGGAAATGAAAGCTGTGCTTTCCTGCAGCTTTATCATAAAAGTGTCTGGACTAGCTTTGAAATACAATTTGAAGTCTTGCAACTGTTTTTTAATTGATTTCTCTGTTGAATGTAGTTTAACTCTTCTCCCTTTCTCCTTTCATCAGAAAAATGAGTGGCGGGTTGGCACCAAGCAAAAGCACAGTGTATGTGTCCAATTTACCCTTTGCTTTGACAAACAATGATCTCTACAGGGTAAGTTTTAAGAGCTGCATTGTTTAGGTTAAACTTGTTGACAACAGTTTTGAATGTAAAATCCATACTGATCTATATCTTAGGAAAGTTTGTCAGGATAAATTTATTACTACTGAAATGCAATTGTCTGTTTTTACATCTTTGTATTTTCTTTTATATTTCAGATATTTTCTAAGTATGGGAAAGTTGTCAAGTAAGTGTCCTGATATGGCCTTCTAGTTTTGTACTTCTCATTTTAAATATTTAATGTCTTTCCTTCACTTGAAAGTCTTGATCTCTTTATCATTTAGGTGTGAATGTGGAACTGTATCGAAATTCTGTTCATTTTTAGTAAAATATAAATTGAATTTATCAACTGGAAATTCTTGCAGTTACATACATCATACAAGAATATTTGTGTTGGGAACAGGTTTTTCTAACCACTTCTTAAGAGCAAGTAGAATGTTGTTACACACCAGCAGTCTTTTCTCTGAAATGGCTGAAAAACTGTTCTAGTAAGTGTTGTTCCCTTTCCCTCAAAGCTGCCTGGGGCACAGTGGATAAGTGTAAAAGTGGGAGCTTCTACTTATGTGAACTGGATATCACAATTCCCACACAGTTCCCACAATTGCAGGGTACAATTCCTCTGTTTGTGATTGTAGAGGGACTTCTTATTATGACTGCTTAATATTTTGCTGAAGATCAGATGTAAGGTTGTACGGTAATGACATTTAATATGTGGGGTATTCATGAACAATACATTGAATACCTGCCTCTGTGTTCAAATGATAGCAATAAAGGCCACATTTGTTTGGGTTTTTTAATTGGTAGGAATAAGGAGACTCAAGTCTTCAGTTTTGAGTCCTAGACCAGCAAGTATCTACTCTAACTTCTAGTAGCTGCTGTCTTGGCTTTTCAACTTGTTTGATACGAGAATGTGTTTTATGAAGTATTGGCTGTATGGTGCATTGCATATTTTAAAGGTCTCATAGCAACATTCTATTTTTTCTCCTTTTTTAATAGTTTCTAGTGGTTTATTTGCCTTTTTTTCTCCTACTGTCATAGACAACAGAAATGTATAACAAAGTTAAGATCCCATGGAGATCTTTAAGGAGAAAAATGTCTCTGAAGTAATTTTAGTGTGTCAATAATGTGGCTATGTGTTTTCAGAGTTACCATTATGAAAGACAAAGACACCAGAAAGAGCAAAGGAGTTGCCTTTATTTTATTTTTGGATAAAGAATCTGCACAAAACTGTTCTCGGGCACTTAATAACAAACAGGTAAATCGTGGAACATTGTTATGACAGCAGGGTTGGGTTTGCAGTCCCAAAACATTTACCTTTCCTTTCCAATTTTCTGTAGTTGTTTGGAAGAGTAATAAAAGCAAGTATTGCCATTGATAATGGAAGAGCAGCAGAATTCATTCGCAGGCGTAACTACTTCGATAAGTCCAAGTGTTACGAATGTGGGGTAAGTAAAACCAAAAATGTGGAGAAAACTTGTGGGTTGAGATAAGAACAGCTTAATAATTGAAATAATAACAAAGACTAGTGAGGCAAATGAAAACAGTTGCTGACCACCAACCAACTGATGCTAGGCCAATCCCTGAGTAGCAACCCCCCTGCCAATCTTCCCCCTATTTTTATGGTTGAGCATGACACCACATGGTCTGGAATATGCCTTTGGTCAGTTTGGGTCAGTTGTCCTGGCTGTGTCCTCTCCCAATTCCTTGTGCTCCCCCAGCCCACTCACTGGTTTAGTGAGAGGCAGAAAAAGACTTGACTCTGTGTAAACTCTGCTCAGCAATAGCTAAAACATCCCTGTGTTACCAGTTCTGTTTCCAGCACAAATCCAAAACTAGCCAGCCCCATGCTAATACTGTGAAGAATATTAACTATCCCAACCAAAACCAGCACAGACTCTCAGTTGATTTCTTCCGTGTGGCCATTGCCAGTCCTGCCTGTGCTGTTGAATTAACTTTTTTTGTTGATATTATCAACGTGCATAGCAGTTGTATAATTTTCAAGAATGAGGGTGCCCCTTTTGTCTTTTATTAGTGATTTTGGGGGTGGGGAAAGAATATGTACATATAACTGCTGTTTAACATGCTGATGAGCAGACAGATCTGAGTAACAGTATAATGCTGTTTGAGAAAGAAAATCTCTTAATCTTTGATTCAAAATAGCTGCTTTTGCTATATCTTTGGAAGTTCATGATACAGTTGGCAGTAAAATAAATATTGGAAACAACTATTTTATATAGAAGTGAGTTGTACGTTTAGGCAATTCCTGACTTTTGCTGAACATAGTAACGCAGGACATTAGATTTGAATAGTAGTTAATGTCCAATACAAACTTGGTTTATATTCATAACACTTTTTACAGAAAAAATGTTGTATCACTCCTGTTTCTTAAATTGCTAATGCTGAGGTTTCTATCTTGAACGTAAACTGTGTGTAGCGTATTCAGTTATTGCAACAGCCAAAGAAAATCTGATGTACTCATAGCTTGTTCTCAGTTTGCAGTTAAATTTGCATATCACCACCAATCTCTTCTTTTCCATGGCAAACTTAGAGAGAACAGTGTGTCCTCCGTGTGCTAATTCAGCATTCCATTTATCTTACTAATTACTTCCATTTTTTCCCTGCAAACTGTCTTAACGCTAACTTTCCTCACGATATATTTTAACATATGGTTGTTTGTAATGGTTTCTGTTAAGCAGTATTTCTTTTTCTCCAAGGAAGCAGGACACCTAAGTTATGCTTGTCCTAAAAATATGCTAGGAGAGCGGGAGCCACCAAAAAAAAAAGAAAAGAAGAAGAGAAAGAAAATAGTTGAGCCAGAGGAAATGTATGTATATTTAGTTACATGCTATTACTTCTTTTAGGAAGCCTTCTCATACTATACATTTACATTAAAATCTATATATGTTTTTCTCTCTGTCTGCACAATGAAGTGAGGAGGAAGAAGATAGTGAAGAGGAAGGAGAAGACCCTGCTCTAGATAGCCTCAGCCAAGCCATAGCTTTTCAGGTACAGAGTTGAAGCATTCCATATTTATTATTATTACTATTTTTTAAATGCAACTCTAGTTCCTTCTTTAGCTGCTTTTCTAAAGCTCTGAGATACACGCAGAGGTCTGTCCACTTTATAGCACTTGAGAGACTCTTGTTTGGCAGCAGTAGCTGGTTGCTATAGTTGGTTTGTTTGCATTGCAGGCATGTTCGGTGGAATTTTGTTTGGGTTTTTTTGCTCTTTCACTGTTGCTGTATTTGTGTGTTGCATTCTTTTCTTTCCTTTGAGCTCCTTTGCTGCTTAGTTTTCTGTCACCTCTGCTCTGATGCTCTGCTAGGCTTTTGTCCACAAATCCCTGTTTAACTGAGCAGATGGAAAAACAGTCATGTATAAATGACTGGGCACATCCTCTGCCCTCATTAGAGTATTCTTGAACAACATCTATTTCTGGGACTGTTCCTTTGCCAAATACAGTCCATCACAGTCTCTAATAGACCTCATCTTTCAAGATATATTGAATGCATATTTTGTAATTCAGACTGTTTGACAGCTGTATTATTGCCTTTATTACACTTGCTTCACCATGGAGAGCAAGCCTGATCTGATAATCAAATTTCTTGGCTCCCTAGTCATCAGCTGTCCCTTGTGTGCCTGTCCCCCCAAAAAACCCTCAAGAGCTTTTACTATAGCTTTGTTCTGAATATGACTGTAATGAATGCACAACTTCTATGTGATATAATCCAAAAAATAATTCAAATATGCACAATTATCCCTCTCTCCCCCCAAAACTCCACAGTTGGAAGTAAAACCTGTAAAGCCAGGAAACATTCCCATTTCTCTCACCATCCGAAGATTTTAACTAAATAAAATAGTTAAAATAGTTTAAAATAAATAATTTAAAACTAAAAATAGGAAGCATCTATTTAAACCTTTAGTTGAATAACCTTTACGTCCCCAAAGACATTCATTATGTGAAAGAATGGCTGCAAAAGACAGCAGAAGACTTGTTAGTGGAACAAAGCTGAATCAATGACAGCAGTTTAAAACATGAGGCATTCTTTGCTTCAGATCTCAGCTGCTCTGTAGTTCTCTAAGTTTGCTATGGGCAAAGTTCCTCTTTTTGAAAATACAGGATACTCCATGCAGCCTGCATTGGTGTAGAAGACTCTTTGAATGTGAGAACTGTGAAAACACAGTTTTCTAGTGGATTCATTACACATTTTACCTGGAAATTGTAATTCGCTAACTTATTTAATAATGCAATACCTATTGATAATTAGCATTATCATTTGTAATGCATCTTTGTTTTTCTTAATCCTAGCTAATACTTTTTCTTCTTCAATTGTAGCAAGCCAAAATTGAGGAAGAAGAACAAAGATGGACGCAGACTGCAGGGGAATCTTCAATTTCTGATGATTCTAAACGTCCACGGATTAAGAAAAGTGCTTATTTCAGTGATGAAGAAGAACTTAGTGATTGAAATAATACTGGTCTGTATACACACACACAGATATATATATAGTGTACATTTTGTAAAGGGATACAAAGTGATCTGTAATATAGGTTTGGTTTGGTGTTGAAGACACTGAAAATTGTGTTGTATTTCTGTTCTGTCCCCTGACCCTCTCATCTTTTATATCTGTCTGAATACTTTATTTTTCAAGGCAGCTTCTTAAGAAAATTAAGTGTTTCTATACTTAAATCCAGAAAAATATCTGTGAGAATACTTCTTGCAGTTAGTATCTAGATCCAGACCCTGGGTGAGAAATCTTTCATAAGAGAATTTCCCAAGACCTTTTTCCTAAGAGAAGTTCCTCTTAGGATGACCATTAGCACCACTGGTGCTTTATGTCTTGGTCTGTTTATTGCCTGTTTGGAAGCAGTGCTTTACTAGTACTTTAGTAGGATATGAATCTTGCCCTAGTTCTTCTGCATAGGGTTGACTCTCACCATTGTACTAAATTCCTGTCACATCAGCTTGGTCTGTGAAATCACTTCAGACCAAAAACACGTCTGTCAGCTTTCCAAGAGGATATTAAGATGCTGCTCTTCTTTTATGCACTGTTTTAGTAACTTGCTGTACACTTCATAGTGTTATATAGCCTGTAAACAATATAGGCTTTATAGGAGATGCAAGTTAAAAGTGATGTGGTGATTAGTTCAGTCTTGAAACATACTAAATATTTTTTAGAGTGATAGTTCTGTTGCTTTTGCATTAAAAATGGGAACATGCGTATGTTTTAATATCCTCTAATCTGGTGTTGAAATCCTCTTGCTGTGAAAAGGGCTTACACTGCGCTGTTTCTCCTGACTGCTCTTTGGGTGCCTAACATGGTAATTACAGTTACCCATGGGGTTTTAAATGTGCTTGTATCTAACATGAATCCCAGTTCTGTGTTCACAGCCATCTGAACCTGTTAGCAAAATCCATAAGATCCAAAATTTCCTACATGGTTAAAAATCAGCTTTCTTGTATACTTGGAACTGTCATGTTCACTAAGCAAAGTGTGTTGATACTTATTTTGCACATAAAGCTGTTCAGAACTTTTGAACAGGGTCTCTGTACTTCAACCCAGGTCGTCCAGCGCTCCATCTATCGGGTTCTAGTCCTGTTCTCCTGTAGCAGTGATCATTCCCAAAACCTCAGACGTGGTGTTGATGTAACTTTTTTATATTGGCCACTTTGTGTAGTCTAAACCTTTCACTATTATGAAGCACAATATAAAATAAATTCAGTTTCATACTTTGAAGAAGAGACGAGCTAGCCTCTTTTTATGTTTTCAGTTCTTCCTGTTTGCTCATCAGGACTTGATTTCCTTTCAAATATAGAAAATATAAATCCAAATATACCATTATGTATTCTTAATACCAATTTACATTCAAATGTATAACTGGGCGCAAAGCAAAGAAACACATTACATCCTCTAAGCTAATATAAAACAGTCACATTCAGGTCATTCTGAGGCCTTTTGCTGCTCCTTTCACCAGAACTGAAGAATATGGCAATAAAACATTTTTCTATGCAAAGTACTCAAGCCACAGCATGAGGAGGAATATTGAGCTTTTTACATAGGAAAATCTTGGACTCAGTAATCTGGATGTTTTTAAGACTTTGTGACTTTTTGCTATAAGTAGTATGTATGAAATCTGAAGCTTAATTAATTTTGGGAAGACCTCTTGATACCGAATAGCTGAGTGCTAAAGTTTTCTGTTAGTAAGTGCAAATCACTGTACATCATGTGTGTAATAAAGAAGCCTGAGGAGTTCTAAGCTCTGCTAAGGAAGAAAATATTGCTGCCAGCATGCTTCTCTGCAAATACGAGGTATGGGCTCAAGGGCAGTCAAAAACAAGGAGAGCAAAACAAACAGAAGTATTATGCCACTGCTTAAAATTGGGGTTTGTCACCTTCTTGAATACCACGTTCAATGCTGCTTTTAAAAAAAGGTAGAAAACTAAAATGTGACAGAGGGACGGTTGGCATTGCCCGTGACTTTGATTTGGGAATATTTGATGACTTGTAAGAATTAAGATTTCAATGAAATGATTAAGCAGCAAGTTTCAAACTTTTATTTCATTAGACTCTGAAACATACTAGTGGAACTCACTGCTATGAGACTTTTTTCAGGGTCATGGGGTCAAAAGGATTAGACTTATATGTGGAACATGCTATTTCAAAATGTTGCTTCAAAATATTAGTTTAAATACAGTCTCCACTCAAATATCCTCAGTTGCTGATTGCCACTAACTGTTAAATATAGAGATATTAACAGTCTAGGAATGTTTTATTCTTGTACACTTTACTGTTTCATATTTGCTACTGGTGTCTTGTCAGAAAGAATAGAAACAAAAGTGACCCTTGTTCTAACCTAATACAGTACTTTTTCAAGAGTTCCAGTAGCTGAAGCACGTTGATATATCTTTTAACTCTGCTGCTTCTGCCTCAGTGCTTTCCCCATAGGATTTGCTTTTGTCAGCACGAAGCAGCACATCAGTCCAGACTATTACAAATTACCCAGTGTTGTTCCTCCATGCTTTTCTGTTCCAAGCATAAAGTCACTTGAGGTAGGTGACATTGGAAAAGAAACATAAAAATGTGCCTGCTTCAGTGCAGTCCTGGCATCTAGAATTCCTTACTTTAAACCATCTTGGAGTTTTCTTAAGTGCTCTTTTATGGATAGCAATGCTTATAGTTTTTGTCTTGGGGTAAAGAAGAAAGCACCTAATGCCTAAAACATGATCTAGAGGGACTTTGGATGAGTGGGATTTTTGCACTTGGGTTCCTGAATCACTTTATATTCTTTGCCAGCAAGATAACAAAGCACTTCTAGGTGAGAAATTCAGAGCACTAGCATCAGATAGCCTTTAGGTTACACAGCATGAGTACCTATTCTGCTTGCTTGTAAATCCAAAATTGTTTTCTGCATCACTCCCTGATGCAGCTGCCTCATTCTGAAAAAAAGTACAAAACTTGTCACTAAAGACTTTCTGATCTTTGAAGGCAGAGGGATTTACTCCTGTTCATCCCCACTCTCACCCACTCTAAGCAGCACAGCTTCAGGTTTTCATCCCATCAGTGCTGAGGAGAGAGGAGGAGTGTTAATTAGACTCCTAATTTAGATCAGGCCAATAGGATGCCACTGGTTTACAAAGCTTGAGCAACAGAGTGGTAGTTTTGTCAGTTTGGTATCATAAAGCACCAGCTCTGGAAGCAGAAAATAGCATTGATAGCTGCATGGCCCAGGGCCAGATGAGTGAGACTATGTAGCTATGTTATCGAGAGAGAGAAGAAGAAAAAATGCCTTGTAAATCACTTTCCTGTTATTGTTTAAAAAAAAACAACACAGGCTTTTCTTCTGAGGGGTTTGTTGGTTTGGGGCTATTTTTAGTACTTTGAGGATGTCGTTTAGGCTAGCAAGCTGAATGCTAGTTTTATAGTACAGATAATGTGGGTCTGATTATAACGACAATGGCATTAAATAGACTTATTTTTGTTAAATAACATCAAAAACTTGGATCTTTCTGAAAATATCCAGTTATTAGATTTTGGGTTTCATATTACCCAAATGGCTTGAAAATTGTCAGAATGTGTTCTGGGTTATAGGACTTACTGTCTATTGAAATGGCTAACAGTAGTGTCTCAAAAGCCACTAGAAGAGGCCTTTTATCTGTCCTTGGAGAAGAAGGGGCTGTGGAAGTGGGATAAGGATGATTAGCTTAACTGATTATAAATGGTATTACTCGTACTGTGCCTGTGCAGTGCTCGTTAAAACCATTGCAGCTGTGAAACACAGGAGTAATTTTAGTCCATGTTTAGCAGGCTCTCACTATGTTCTTGGCATATTCAGGTTACTACTTTTAGCAAATCAATAGAAGGGACTGTAAATACAAAGAACTAGGAGTAGTTAAATAGGTGATGTCTGGGACAAATTGTAAACACTTTATCTTTGGCTTCTAGGTCACTGTGTTCTTTGGGATAGCCCTTCTTTGATCTGCAGAGCTGACTTATTGCAGCATGGGAAAGTGAGCTGTGCAGGCTGTTTGTAGTCTTCTGAGGCAACAAATATTAAATTGCTTAGAAAAACTAGATGTAAAATGTGATATTTTAAAATGGCACTTATTAAGTGCTACTGTGAACATTTCTATTTCGCATCTGCAGTGTCAATATAATAATATATTCCATCACTATCTCACCATTGCCCTTCTATAAATGTATTTCAAATAATGCTCTTCCAGATGTGTTATCTTAAAATAACTGGTATTGGATAGCGGATTGCTTCTTTTTAGTATAAATTACAAAACCATATTTAGGTATCCTTAAAATGTTCATACTCAGCAGCTTTGTTTATCTTGCAGATCTTAACAGGGTGAAGGTTTTTTCTGTAGCTGTTGAAGGAAATACTAAAAATTACTACACTGTTCCTTCTTTAGAGAAAAAGGTGGAGGGTTTAGTCACTCTTAATGTAGATGACCTTGTTTCTTGTATCTATGCTGTTATCTGTAAAATGTATCCTAAAAGGAATAAGCTGAGGAGATTGTCACCCTAAAAGAACGCAGTGTTTTTTAAGTTGAAGAGTTGTACAGGTTTGAGAAACAACATTCCACCACTGCCAGGCTAACCCTGACCCTGCTGTGCATTCAGACACAAGGTATGTGCTTAGGCATGTATTTAATGGATGTGATAGGTAATGCAGCAAGTAAAGAGTTACAGAAGTTGTGGCAGTAGAATGTGCTAAAAGCGTGTGAAACATTTAACCTACCCAGTGAGGCAATGTAGGTCACGGTGGCTTGGAGAAATACCACAATTACTAATAGGAGAACTTTCCTGTCTGATGAATAGGATGCTCCAGATAATCAAAAGCAGCTCTGAGGTTTGAAGTTCATCAAAGGCAACGGCCACAAGCTTACATCAAGATGAGCTGATCCACGAAAATTCAGTTTTATCAATATGCAGTGAAAGAGAATTAGAAGGTGTCCAAATTTAGATACTGCACCAAGCTCAGTGCAGTACAGCAAAAACTGCTGCTTGGTTCCAGGAGTAAAGATGCATTATTTTAATTGTGTATGTGGAGAAAGAGGACATAGATATGTTCTGCTCAAAGAACAGATGTGACTGTGGAAGAAGGAGAGACCCAAAATAGAACCAAAGGC